CTCTGGAAATAGGGTATGTTGAAGAATCAGACAAATATTTATGTATTTTTACCACTTTCAACAGTTCGATCCACAAGTTAAACCGAAGTCTTCCAACCAAGATCTCCCATTCCATTTATTATTAAATAAGAATTGAGATCTACTGTGGTAAGTAGAGACAATGTTTTGTCCTCTACAGGAGCAGTAAACTGTCTCCACAGATGCCAGTTACCTGGCCTCAGAAGCACTTGGACTAATTTTTACCAGCTAAAGAAGTTCACATGCTAAGACAGTATCAAAAAAGCATTTACAAACCATGCTTCTGATACTCCTTATTTTAAAAGCTTGTCAGCATGCTCAAGACAGATTCAGATAAAGTTTGTCACTCTGTCCCCTTGATATGATTAAGTGATCAAAGTAAAACTTGAGAGAAAAACTTAATTAAAATTTGGACTTGATACACAGAACATTAGCCATTTTTTGACTGGAGAATATGCTTTTTTTATTACACAAATGCTAACACAGTTGGATGACACCCTAGCTGTCAAAGATTAACATCTTGTAATTAGCTATGTAATTGAGTAACTACAGACCTTCACTCATTATATGCACAGATGAGCCAATTCTACATCACCAAGGAACTCAGTTTTTAAGAGCAGACGACTGTCACACCATCATCACTGAGCAAATTTATGCACAATTAAAATAGCGTGTGCTTCTGTATTTAACCAAGTCAGCTACTGATATTACTAAAAGGATATTGATCAGTACTACTATTTCGATTGAATCATTAATTTCATAGATGCAGAAACTAAAATACTGACATTAAAGGGCACTGTATGTGTGACCAATTGCTGGAAACTTCAAATGCACATGGTGGCAGACAGCAGTGTAAGAAGTGACCAGTCCAAAACTGTTGGCATGGTGAAATAATTCAAGCAATGACTTAAGTTTAGTCAACTCTGCTCAACTTGTCCCCACCACCTCCAAAACAGGCATTTCATCTCTTACCAGAAAACTGGTGTATCACTGGTGGTCCCAGGATGTTCAACACCACCCCACCTTTTAGCTCTCCCCCTTTCAGCTGCAGCACCCGACACACAAAACCGTGTTTATTAACTGATGCTTAGCCAGCTGTACTGCAAACGCATTTCATCTGCACGAGGAGAATGGTGCTCACCCAGGTTAGTAAGAGGTTAAGTTTATGGCACCCAGATTACGACACCCACCACGTGTTAACTTCCCTTTCACCAACACCTGAGTGTCACCCAACACCAGCAGTGACCCAGCTTCTGCACCAGAAAACTGAGAACTGCTGCGCTCCCTAACGTATTCCAACCAACTGCTACACTTCCTGCTCACATTGCTTGTCATGTTCAACAGCTTCTTATTAACAGAACCAAAGTGTTCAATGGCCGGAGTATTTCAACCTTATTTTTATTGTTCTTACATATAAGGTGTCACAATCTGAGAAACATTTAAACCCAAGAACATAATTTTAACTGCATCTACAGAAAGAGTTTTCTTCTAAGTTGATTCATGAATACACTCAAAAACTGGAAAAACACACCAGTGAACAATGAGGATTTGCACTAGGGGATTAGACACAGTTTGCTCTGTATCCTAGCCATCTGGCAGATTCCCCCTCCCCCACCACGAGTTCTTTTGTTTCAAATTTATGTCAGCAGGAGATCAGAACTAAGTATTTATCCCAAATAATTTAACTACATCCATAAGCTCACAATATAGGTTTTGCTTTCGCTCTTCACTGAACTGGTTTATGATCTCCCACCCCATTTAAAAGATATTTACATTGTAAGACTGGTTTGTATGACTAAATTAAAACTTAGGTTTTAATATTATTAGATGTTCCATTTGCTTAACTTTTACAAAACTGAAGTAGGCTGTAGGCAAGGCAGTGGGGTGTTTATATTTTACTAGCCTCCCTGTAAGAGCTCTTAACAAGAGGGCTGAACTTGAAGCTTTTTGTGAGAACACATCTACCCAAAACACAGTTTCAGCTACGACAGCAATTGTTCCAGCTGTTCTGACATAAGACAACAAGCTGCTTTATGGGCCTGAGAATCCCTTTTCAGCACGGTACCAGTTTGCCTCCTTTGGACACAAATCCTGTTCAGGAGGCTTCCTTGAACACCCTGCTAGCTCTGCAATAGCTAGTGATCCTCAAGGCTTCATACTCTTACCTTCCAGCATAGTCTTTATAGTGACAGACTGTTTTGCAATTTCAACATCAACTTCAAAGATTTCTCCATCTGAACTCTGCAGTTTAATTGAAGGCATCTACAAGAGAAGGACAGTTATTTCCACACCATATTCAGCAGATGTTACAGGTTTAGATGACTCAAAGATGTAAGTTACCTTTACTTTTTATATTGTTTCTTACCAGCAGCAGATAACCCAGCGCCACTTAAAGCATGCTCAGATTATTCACTGCTTGAATCAACAGGCCTGAATTCATTAATCCTCACGCTTAAGAAACAAGGATTGATAAAAGCCTAACATCAATTTAAGATCATTTTTTTCTTTGAATTTGAAAGCATAAAATACCAAAAATTTATAATGCTTGTATTTTTCACAGTGCAATGCTAAAGCTATCTCTCTCTGGAATTAAATTTCAGTACCGCTTCCAAAACACTACTTGTCTTCAAATCCAAACAACTGCTACTTATTTTGACTACTCAAATGAAGTCAGATCTCAGAAGCAGTTTTCAAATGATAGCCCCTAGAACAGGATCACAAAATTGAGGCTGGAAGGAACCCCTCTACACAGAGTTTAGTCCAGCCTCCCTTGCTCCAAACAGAGTCAAACAGAACAAGTTACTCAGGATCAAAGACTTTCCTTCAAAAAAAGTGTTTGGTTTTCTCAAGAGATCAAAAAGCAATACACCACTACGAGGAAGGCTTTCAGCACTCAATACTACTCTTACAAAGGAGGAAGTTAGATCAGCACTTTGTTAGCATTAGGAAAGGCTAAGATGACTGTGCATTTTAACGAAGTTTTTCAAATAAACTCTAGTAAGACCTACAATAAACAGAAGCAGCAGAATTCAAAGATATCAGGAGCAGAAAAATAATCAAACTTTACAAGAATGCATCTTTCCAAATATTTAACAACTCAAACCCAGAAGTAGTGCACTTGATACAGCATCTAGTAAGTTAGAACTTCTGCCTGAACCTGCACATGAAATCTGTTTGGGCATCACTGCACTTGAACCAACTGACTTGAAGGACATGATAAATATAACTGCTTGGCCATATAAATTTAATAATTCAGTTCTCAACAAACTAGTAGGATACGTTTTAAGTCCCTGTACCACTCAAAATATTTGTTAACAGCAGATCATTGCAACAGTTGCACTTTTTTTCCTCCTTACCTGCTTAAAGATCTCTAAAGCATGTATTTATAAATAAAACCTGCAAGATACTGTAAAGAGAAGCTCTAGGAACAAAGAGCTTCAATTTCATTTCAGTTAATTTTCAAATGTTCTTCCCCCACCAAACCTAAGAGCTATGCATGCTAGTTCCTGACAGCAGTACCCGAACTACCAAAATTTAATTAGCTGGACCACTTTCAGTAAACTCACATTACTCCTTTCTGAAAACCTCCTGTAGCTCACCAGTATGGCTGAGCCTGACAGTACTGCAACAAACCCAGTCCAGTGGAGGCCAGCCAAAGCACATTATTAAGCAGCTCACACCAGCTTGAAGCCCTCAATGCTTTAATTTCCATTTGGCAGAGCGAGTAGCTAGTTAATGTTTACACTGTAATGTAACCCTATATGACAGCGCTACTTCTAATTAAGATGGGTGTTCTGGAGGGACACAGTCATGATTGCTCCAAAGATACAAATATATATATACACACGCACAAAAAATAAAATTTGAATTAAAACATGAGTTGGTAGCTGATGGGCTGAACAATATTATCTATCTAGGCGTGTATTTCAGATTTAATGCATCTGTTCTTGCAGTGATTGTCTGAGCGCACTCGAGAACAAACCCAGCTTCAGATGCCAGCCTTCCTGTGCTTGTGTCTAGGATTACATAATGCTGCACAAGGGAGCCAGCACGACAGGGATGCTGCCTTGGCGAGTCCAGCTCCTGCAAGAATATTTGCATTGAGACCCTTGTATCGCCCAAACCCACTTTTATCAAGACCTTCAGGTTACTGTTAAGTGTCTGAATCAGGTAGAAGGAAGTTAATCTACTGCCTTATGACTGGTAACAGATCACAATTTCAACCCAATTTCGTTATTTTTATACCACAGTGCTCAGTCTCCTAGAAGAATAAAAAAAAAAAAATGTCATTTTTAGCAAACTGCAATACAGCTCTGGAAATGGGGAGGCCTTGGATAGCAACACGACTGGGTGACTAAGCAGACGAGTCCTCAAAGCTCTATTCGACAACAACAAAACAGGTTTGGAGCTAGTCAAAAGACAAACCTGAATTACGACGGTAATTTGCATGTATAAGCCCAAAATGCAGAGCTCAGCCATCTAAAAGAGCTCCACCAGGCAACTCCGTGCCTCCCAAAGCGATTCCGGATGGATGCCCGCTCCTTCCCCCGCCACTTCTCCGGGGCGCTGGGTGTGCAACGCTGCGTTTATTTAATAAACTCCCACCTGAGCCCCTCCGCTTGCGCTGCCGCTCCAGACTCCCCTCGCTAGCAGAGATACCGGGGGTGTCCCGGAGCCCCCTGACAGCCGCACGGGGGAGGGCCCAGCTCCGCCGGTGCTGTGCGGCCCGCGGCGGGGGCAGCGCCTCTGCTTTATTTACCAGACACCCACACACATACACCCGCCCCCCAAAGGGGCCCACGGGCGGTTCAGCCCCGCACAGCCCAGGAATTGCTCAGACCTCGGCCCAACCCCTCAGCGGCCCTCCCCGACCACCACCCGGGAGCTCCGCCGCCACGGCCGCCCTCCGCCCGCGCCAGGCC